ATTGATACAAAGTTTTCTGTCTAAGGAAAACCAGTTGATTGCATTGACTCATTGACTCAAATACAATCCCTCAATTCCAGTTCTGGAATATATCTTCTAACTTTGTGAATGAAAGCTCTCTGCTGCGGGTCGCGTAGCGTTCTTTTCTATTAAAGCTGTCATCACTCCCAGAATAATAGGACCTGTTGTATTCCACAACATAGTTCTGGTTTCATGGAGAAAGTTGGGTTCTATTTCAGTTCGAGAAATCTTTTTACCATTATTCTGGTTAAGTATGGTTAAACTTACATTCTAATTAACCAGGATCATTACACCACTTTGTTTGCTAGAATAGGAGCTGTGCTTCACACCGCCCCCCCAATCTTCTTCATCCCACCAATCATCTTTAGATTGGAATCCCATTCATTATGTTCAGCTATCCTTTAGCCATTTTTTGCTAATTGATATTATGTCATTTAATTTGCCACCTTCAACATAACAGCTACTAACAACATCTGTTAACTGACCTTGTGCAAAGGACATCAATAAACCAAGCAGAGGGAACAAAGCTGAGCAGCAATAGACTATTAAAGCTTGGTCTGTAAGACATGCATAGAGTTCTCCTCCTTTCCAAACCCAACAGCAGTTTATCGGATGTTGATCAGTAAATTCCTCATGGAGCAACGTTTGTCGGCTGCTTGGCTGGTTGGGAAAACCTTTCAGCCTCCGCTCTGTCTCTGAAAGTCCTCCTCTCTGCCTTCCAAAGGAAGATGAGCGTCAACAGGAACAGCTGGTGTTTCACCTCCATCTTCTGTAGACGCTTCTCTGTAGCACTGAAAGCTCCCCGCTTCTCCACAAGGTCTTTATACGGGTCCTCAGAAGGTCATCTCCAGCCGATGAGGCGATGAGCGTAAAACCCTTATGAGAATGGTTTGGGGAGGGTAGTTTTTACCTACCGTAGTCAGGGTGCTAGTTAGCCTGGGTGGCATTCCGAACTTAGTCCCGCCCACAACGTTTGAGGTCGGGAAGTTTGGTCTGGCATTGCTCAACAGTAGCGCGAGTATACTCGCACAATATCTGGCGGGCCAATAAAATTGTCAGGGCGGGCTTTATACGATGATGGACAGATGATCAACAGTAACGTAATCAACCACGTGACCAA